CTACACAGCCCTAAAGTTCACATATTTACAACCTGTAGATTAACGGGTTTTGTGCATTTATCATTAAGCTGGCGTTACAGTTTAAAATCAACATCAGGCTTACTTGGCCTGTTCTCCATCCCTAGACTGACTGTCTGCTGAAGGTACCAGTTCAGTGGTGAGTACAATGAAAAGGCATTCACATTTATGCTGGCAAAAAAACCCCCAAAACCTATGTTAAGAAAGTTCTATTTTTAGGTATCTGATTAAATGAGATGAAGAAAGCGTGTGGATGCCAGTCTCGGTTCTCCTCCAGCAATTTAGGTTCTGTTGTTTTGCCTTTCAAGAGGAACAGCAGTGTAGTTCTGGGTGAATTAAGTGAGGATAAAATTATAATAAATTGTGACATACTTTGTAAACTTTCAAAGGAGACTCAGCTTAGATGTGTCCTGTTTGTTTCCTGTTTTATTTTCTCTGTCACATTTCTTTTCACGTTGTTTAGTTTATTAGGGTGGGAATGGATTCAGTTTATAGGGCCAAGCCTGTGTTATCTGTCATTGGAAAATACCCTTTTGTCAGGTGTATCTCAGATGGGCTCTTTGGCACTCACCAAGAAAATAAACATCCTGCTCCCTTTGTTGTGGATAGATATGATGTAGAAGCTCTTAGCACATGGGTAGGTTGTACTCTTTTGTGCTGTTTAATATACAGCAATAAATGCTTATGTTTTTCCCTCTAACACATTTGTTTGCAGGGGATGTGATCAGCCTTGGAGACCGACAGCTTACCGTCATGCACATGCCTGGTCATTCCAGAGGCAGTATTTGCTTACACGACAAAGACCATAAGATTTTATTCAGCGGAGACGTGGTGTACAACGGATCCATGATCGACTGGCTTCCCTACAGCAGAATAAGCGACTACGTTGCGAGCTGCCAGCGCCTCATGGAGTTAGTGGACAGAGGTCTGGTGGAGAAGGTACTGCCTGGGCATTTCAACATATTTGGGGCAGAAAGGTTGTATCGGTTAGCTTCTAATTACATTTCACAAGCTGGAGTTTGTCACAAGGTTTCTACTTGTGCCATGAGATCCATTGCAAGCATAGCGCTCAGCGTGACCAATTCCAGAGTCACTTCCTAGTGACTGCCTTTTGTGTGATCTGTTCCCTGCTGAAAACCCAAAACAGCTTGTGAAAGTGTTGATACAAGCAAAAGCAGTGCGTGTTAGTAAATAGCTGGTAAATTGATACAGATGAGCTGCAAAGATTCTCCCTATTTTTGCCTACTTTATTCCTATTTTTATATATATACATATATAAAAAAAAGTACGTAAGCTTGTAGCTTTAGCCAAAGCTACCATTTTTCTTTCTATTTTTTTTCAGGTCACTTTTGCACATGTATTGTGATTGAAGTACATTTTATTTTTGTTATGATTCTGACAGATGCAGATATGCCAAAATGAGAAGTTTTACATTCATGCCCCAAACCTTGTTGACGTAGCACTAGGTTTGTGTTAAGAGTAGTGGATTGAGCCCTTGCCTGATTTGTTTGTTTGTTTGTTTTCTGATAAGCTCATAAAATACATTTTATTTACAGTTTTTCTGTAAATTTGAGAACTGGACTGTGACAAGCTTAAAGGTTTTATTTGTGTTTAAGAGTATTTTTATGTGATCGGATTGTAACTCAGTTGTAAAGTCTCTGTGGTAAGGGAAGGATGGAGGATTTAACATTATCTTGCCCTACTGCAGGTGCTGGATGAAACAGCCAGTGCACTTGTTACCACAAAGTGAATGTAATTCAAACTGTTTGCTTGTGAAGTGTTTGGTGTGTATGGTTTTTATGAAAAGTAAAGTGCATTAAGTCCATTCCAAAAAAAGCTGAATACACTGAGAAATGCTAAATGACATTGTAACTTGCTTATGAAAATTGAATGTGTGATGTTTAAAAGCTGTTGAAATGGTTAAAGTTTGTGTAATTATTCTAACAGTCTCTCTCTATATATATTTAACTTTTTTAAAAGGACACTGTCTGATGTTATTTTTGTATATAGACATCTATACTTTCCTAAAAAGAGTGCAAATGTTTTTTTCCAAAATTTTAGTGGAGTTAAACAACTTTTTTGTTTGGCTTTCAGTTTATGGGGAAGTTTTTCTTCATCATACTCAACGGGAGCCCAAAGTTTGGGCTCTGCCTAAGGTATGAGGGAGTAGAAGTTGATAGCTTTCTTAATAGGTATAAATTCTGGTGGAAAAAATTAAAAAAGTTGCGAAATAAAAAGCATCTCTGCCTAAAAATTGTGAAAGAGAGTATCTTATGTAATGCTTTTCTCCTTTCACAGATCACTGCCTTTTTTGTCTGTATATATCTTTCACCAGGATTTGTACTGATAGGTTGTGACGTGCCTAGTTCTTAGCAGTGCCTGTCTCCAAGCTGAAGCTAAATTATCAGTGGGCAGGACAGGGGTAGCAATGCAGCACTTGGAAGACCTGTTACCACTTGGATCATAGTCTGTTTTTTGGAGAAATACAAGTACATCAGTGCATCATTTAATCAGTGGGTAGACTTCTGTTGTAAATGAAACCAAGAACTTTTTATCTTGGCCTCGTTTGGCCAGAAGAAGAAATTCAGATTAGCCTGAGAAGCTAAAAAGCCCTTCAGTGAAGAGGCCCAGAACAAACTCCACAGTGTGGTTTTCCTTTTTCACCTGCACACACATGCTGCTATTTACGTAGCAGTCCAGACACCTTTCTTGATAGCCAGGGGTTCACAAGGGACATTCAGAGCTGAGGTGGCAAATGGGAAAGTCAGAATGGCTGAGGAAATACTGAGCATAGACACAGTTATCCAGATAAAGCCATGGTCTCAGAAATTACCCAACAGTAATTTTAATTTCTTCAAATGAGCCTTCTGTGAAATAAAACCCATTGCAGTCTTTTTTACTCTATGTTTTTGTGAAGGCTGTGGGAACACTGCTAATAACCCTGTGCCATCACGCAGGCAGAGAGACCTCTTCTGTCAGAGCGCCTGCCCTTTGCAAATGTTCATTAGGAGAGTGAGATCACGTGGAATTAGCATTTTGTGTTACACCACTGTAGGTTTATTTACTTGCTCCAGTATTAGAAACGCTGTAGCTGGATTTTCATAGAATCATAGAATGGTTTGGGTTGGAAGGGACCTTAGAGATCATCCAGTTCCAACCCCCCTGCCAGCAGCAGGGACACCTTCCACTAGACCAGGTTGCTCAAAGCCTCATCCAGCCTGGCCAAGAACACTTCCAGGGAGGAGCAGCCACAGCTTCTCTGGGCAACCTGTGCCAGTGTCTGACCACCCACACAGTGAAGAACTTCTTCCTAATATCTAATCTAAACCTCCCCTCTTTCAGCTTAAACCCATTTCCCCTTGTTTTGTCATTAACTGCCCTTATGAAAAGTCCCTCCCCAGCCTTCCTGGAGTCCCTTCAGGTACTGGAAGGCCACTAGAAGGTCTCCCTGGAGCCTTCTCTTCTCCAGGCTGAACAGCCCCAACTCTCTCAGCCTGTCGTCACAGCAGAGCTGCTCCAGCCCTCACATCATCCTCGTGGCCTCCTCTGGACTCATTCCAGCTGCTCCATGTCTCTCTTGTGTTGCTGCCTCCAGAACTGGACACAGTGGGGTGTCAGGAGAGCGGAGCAGAGGGGCAGAATCCCCTCCCTCCACCTGCTGCCCACGCTGCTCTGGGTGCAGCCCAGGACACGGTTATTGGCCTCTGTGCTGCCAGCGCACATTGCTGGCTCATGTTCAGCTTCTCATTCACCACCACTCCCAAGTCCTTCTCTTCAGAGCTAAAATACAATTTTACTGTATGGTGAGACCTGAGCTCCTAAGAGAAGGCTCAGAGACATGGCAAATCAGGAGGAAAAATACCCTCCATTATCTGTGTTTAAATCTGTGCTCAGTATCACCCACAAGATCCTTAAAACGTCCAGATCACTGTCAGAATGCCCTGTTAAGCCAAGCTTAAGTCTATTCAGTATATGTACATAACAGCAATTGCCTGATTTATTATTTTTTTCCTTGACCAAAATCTAAGGAATAATTTCCTAACTCAGAAGTGAGCTTTACATCAACACAGCCCAAAACAGGGCGTGTCAGTAAACTGCTGCTATCATCTAGTTGAAAGTAGTTTTTGAGGGTCTAAAAATTATTTTTATATTAAAAAAAAATTCACTACTAGGTAAATGTTAACGTCTTAAGTATAAAAAAAAAAACTGCCTCTGACTATTTTTGTTAAGAATTACCAAGTTTTTGTCGTAAAGAGTTTGACAGTGTCCCTTTAACATTACTTGGATGAAATATTTAAAACACATATTGTAAGTTTATTGCAACATTTTGGGCATTTAGTACTGTGTCTGTTAATTTGTAAAATCTAAGTGTATGTTAATGCAGTTTTAAGTAGTCTTGGGAATTAACAAAAAATCAGACGGAAAGTTTTGCTCTGTAAATCCTTCAAGACTTTTGTGATGTTCAACAGTTTACACATTAAAAAATAATTTTATCATCGATAACCATAATAAAAAAAAAGTTATAATCTTGTGCAGTTCAGTCATAATTTCTAAGTATTTTTTAAGAGAAGCGCTTTTTCATTCTAAATTGAGTGTAAAATCTTCGGAAGTTGTGAGGAGTGGTTTTTTATGCTTCTGAGCATGAGACTGCATGAGAAACATTTAAATATCATACTGCAAAGTTTGTATAAAACCATGACTGGGTACTTCTTTAAAAAAAAAAAAAAGCACCAAAACCCCACATTTTAACACAAATCAGAATTAGGTTTTCAGTAGAATTTGCACACAGAAAACATGGATGTGATGAAACTAGATATATATAATATAT